GAGGTCCGGAGATCGTGCCGGCCAATCCATACGTTCAATATCCCCACTCTCTAAGAGCTGTTCGGCAGCTACTGTGCGATGACATGGTGCATTGTCGTCCATGAAAAGGAACTGTGGACCCATAGCGCCTCTAAAAAGACGCACATATGGAAGAAGAATCTTGTTACAATAACGGGTCCCGTTGACTGAACCTGCGTCGAAGAAGTGAAGGTCTGTACGACTACCAAGCATGATGCCTCCCCAAACGAGAACACCGCCACCTCCATACCTGTCCCTTTCGATGATGTTCGAGGGATGATTGCGGCTTCCCCGCTCTCTCCAGATGAGTATGCGATGAGAATCGCTACTCAGACTGAATCTGCTCTCATCTGTAAAGAGTACTCGTCCCCATTCATTGTCTCTCCAATTCCGGTGTTCCCGGCACCACAGAGAACGCCTTCTCCGATGGGCAGGCGTTAGAGGTACACACCGTACATGGCGTCGTGCAAACAGACCACCACCGTGCAGTCTTCTGGCCACGGTAAAACGCGATATCGGTCGTCCAGTCGCCTGTGTCGTGTGTCTAGCGATTTCTCCCGCTGTCTGCCGCCTGTTTCTTCTGGCCTGTAAGGCAATATACCGGTCATCTGCGGGTGTGATTCCTCGTGGACGACCACTACTAAATCCCCGGATAGCTGTTCGTGTAGTTTGAAATTGTCTCCAAAGTCGTGAAACGATGCGTTGAGCAATTCCGAACTCTGCAGCCACACTTGTCACACTGTGGCCTTCCTCCAACCTCCCAATGATTCGACCTCGGGTAAGGCATCCAGATGTCGTCCAACAGATTGATTATTCGCCATTTCTCGCTGAGGCAGCAACTCGGTGTGATTTTAACTGTTATACGGCGTGCAATCTCTTTGGCAGAAATACTGATCTTACACCGACAACATGTTTTATACTACTCAGACACTCCCCCATTACGTCTACCTGCATATCTGCGCATGTGCTACCGTACATCACCTTACTTAATCTCCTGATTGGTCTTTCTGTCCGCTCTGTCTCTTCGTTCAGCTGATATGCTAATTTTTCGACTTCGTCCTTAATTTTTGCACACCAGTGTATATAGCACAATATTTCAAGCTAAAATTTTGTTCAGTTTATATCTTCATTTACGAACAGAAGTTGTCTAAAGTAACAGATATAATGTGCTTAAATTATTATTTTTTTCTCTTGATTATTCAAAAACCAGCAAAAGTAGCCGTTACATTTTTGTACTATTATTTTACACTCTCGTACTCCTGTAGAATTGCAAATTGTAGTCTGTGAAACTCAGTTAGCAAAGAAGAAAAATCAGTGACTTGAATGAGTTCCAGGGAGGTCTGATTGTAGATGGCTGACTCTTTAGTGCATCTGTCAGTTGTTAATTTATCTAGAGGTACTGCGTCTACATGGCAACCTAAATATTCTCTGCAAAACATTGTCTGCGAGACACAGTTAAGGGAGGAAAACGAAACTTACTGACACAGCCAAAAGAACATCAGTGAGGATTGTTATGTCAGAAAGAAAAACTGATGCGAAAAAGGCGATTGCTGAGCTTAATATGCATTTACAAAACCAATTTTCAACCCATGCAATTCGAAAGGAGCTGCATAAGCACAAATATTTACAGCAGATTTACTATTTCAAAACCTCTTGCTCCACAAAGAAACGCAAAACAGAAAGTACAGTGGTATGAGGAACATAAAGCGGGGAATGTTGATCAATGGAAGTAAGTGCTGTTTTCAGATGTGTCAAAAACTTCATACTCTCACTTCAGCGCGGAGAACAATAGCAGAAGCTTACTGTCTGCTCCTTACAGTAAAACATAGCGATATTTCAGTAATGCTTTGGCATTTATATCCCGATTTGCATTAAATCCAGTTATCTTCTTATAAGAAAGAAAGAAAACCCTCTTTGTGTACATAAACATTTTAAGCGATCACGTCCATTCCGCGGTGCACACACTGTTTCTTCCGAATGTCTGCATCCTTCAAGGTGGTAATGCAGGCATTCACTGCAATTACATTGCTCAGTCACTGTTTTAAGAGCGTGAAGATGACGTTACATACACCCTTAGACTAAAAAAAAAAAAAAAGGGGAGGGAACGACGCACCAAGAAGGAGTTATCCGAATGGGACGAAAATCGGTAGAAGTGATGCACATGTACAGAAAAACAAATGATGCTCAGTTTGAGAAAAATTGGATGATTTATTGAAGTGATAGAGCTTCACAAAGTGAAAAAGTCAGTAACGCGTTTGCCCACCTCTGGCCCTTATGCAAGCAGTTATTCTGCTTGGCATCGATTGATAGAGGTTGCGGATGTGCTCCTGAGGGATATCGTGCCAAATTCTGTCCAACTGGCGCGTCAGATCATCAGCATCCCGAGCTGGTTGGAGGGCCCTGCCCATAATGCTCCAAACGTGCTTAATAGAAGAGAGAACCGCTGACCTTGCTGGCCAAGGTAATGTTCGGCAAGCAGTAGAAACAATTGCAGTGTGGGGGCAGGCATTATCTTGCTGAAATGCAAGCCGAGGGTGGCGTAACATGAAGGGCAACACAATGGGCCTCAGAACTTCGTCGACGTACCGCTGTGCTGTAAGATTGCGACGGATGACAACCAAAGGGGTCCTACTATGAAATGAAATGGCACCCAGACCATCACTCCTGGTTGTCGGACTGTTTGCCGGAAGACAGTTAGGTTGGTATCACACCGCTGCTCGGGGCGTCTCCGGACTCGCCTTCGCTGGTTATCGGGGCTCAGTTCAAAGCGGGACTGATCACTGAAGACTATTCTATTCAATCAGTGACATTCCAGTGCGAATGAGCCCGAAACCACTACAAAAGGGCTTGACGTCGTATAGAGGTCAATGGTAGTCGGTGGAAAGTGCGCCGTGACCTTAGCCCCCCTTTCTGTGAGCCGTCTATGAATGGTCCTTGCGGTCATTGAAGCATTAGTTGCACGTACAATCGATGATAAGGATGCATCTGGGCTGTGAGTGCCGCTCTGACGATTGCTCGGTATTCAAGTTCTGTGGTTTCTTTAGGCCTACCGTTTCCTTCTTGACGCCGTGTGCGGCCATGGTTCACCCATTCCTGCCAACATCGTCTAATAGTGGCATCTCTCCTGCTCAAATGTCGAGCTATTCGCCGATAAGACCAACCGGCTTCCTTGAGCTAACTACACGACCTCTCTCAAATTCTGACATCTGCACGTATCGTTCGCGCACCTGTATGCGAGGCATAGTTACTGTCTACCAGAGCACATGGAATGAAATCCGTGAAGAATTTATGACCTGGAATCATAATTTCTCCTATTAAATATCCTGCCAGTTGCGCAGATCGGATGCGTTGTAGTGACAACCGTTCTTTCATTGGCAGCCAAAATCTAAAATTTTGCATTTTCGTCGAAACTTGTATGCATATCAATTTGTGTCCAATTTTGCTTTATATCTTCTCGGTGTGTCGTGGTGCGTCGTTTATTTATTTATTTAGTTAGTTATTTTTATTTATTTATTTATTTATTTTTGTCTAAGAGTGTATTTTACTAGGTCTACATAATCACCAGACTTAAATATAATTGAACCACTGTGGTCTGTGCTGGAAAATAAGTTGAGATCCCATTTTTCTCGTCCACCAGCTTATTTTTTTAGAGTTGAAGCAGTTTGATAGAAGAGTGGTATAAAATACTTGTTACTACCATTGATAACTTGTATGCCTCCATCCCAATAATATTAAATCACTCTCAGATTTCAGAGTTTCTCTTTCACTATATTAGGTGCACAATTCTTTATACTTTTAAATATTTCAGTTATTTAGGACAACTCCTGTATTTTCTTATGCAATGAAAACAGACAAAATTTTATTTTAAAAGAATTATTCTTCCGAAAGTAATTGGCATAATATTTATATTTCTTGAAGAATGGGGACCATGTGCCATTGTCCATCGAAGTGCATGAAGACATTTTATAAAATCAGCATCAGTTCAACTTCGGAGTTTGCCGCATTTGGAATTCCTAACTTAAATTTACTTAATTTTAGGACTTGTCAAAACGAAACGTTTTGTTTTCTAAGAAAAGAAAAAAGGAAATCAGCAATATTCAGTAATACACATAATATGCATATCTAAGTGAAAGCATTTCATTAGCATTTACAGCATACTTTTCCGTTTTCTTTCATGCATACAAGTAATATCATATCCTGTTTCACTGTAATGTTAAAAACATTTAATAATGAAAATTAAATTTAGGAACTAAATCTTGGAAATTTCTGCTTATTCCGGCTGAAATTGAATTGTATAGGAGATAAATAAGTGGGCATGCATTAATATTATAGTACTAATTTTATACTAACTCTGAAACAATAATGTAAGATACTTCATATTTTTGTACTCGGTATTTGCCACATTTAAGAACTGTTATTCTAGAATCACAAGGGCAAATTATAAAAAGGAAATCTATCTAAACAAGGAATCTAACTTACACTAAGGGTCTGTAAATTAAAAGAGGCTAATCAAAAAAGTGAACACCATGCTTTTGGTCTGCGTCTATAAGCAAATAAGGATCTACAAATTGCTCTTTTTCGGGCATGCTTGAAAATTACCTCCTGAGTAGATGATCACACAAAGGGATTAAAACATGGAAAAAGAAAGCAAATAGAAAATTCATTATCATGAGGTACTTATAAAACACCAAAGCAGGCAAAGCAACACATGAATTTCCAACAATGAATTATAATTAGTAGCAGAAGTGAAAATTAAACATTTTAAAATTTATCCCAGTGAAAATATATTAAAGAATACCTTACATTCGCTTATTTTTCTATTTGAATAAATATTATTAATCAGGTTATTAACATCTAAATGTAACACCATACTAACTTTCAACACGAAAGGTGAACTGAAATTAAACATTCAATATGCACTTGTAGTAAAATGCTACATGTTGCACAAAATGCTGTAAATATTACGTAATAGGTACACTTACCGCTCCAAATTTATGCAATACCAAGTACTGCTCAGCTGAAGGATTCATTCCAACACTTTGGAGTTTCCAGTTCATAATCTGCAATAATTAATAGGAGGGTAGAGTAGACTTTAAGGTACCTTTGTATTATGGCAAAGTTGTTGTTTGATTTATCGCCAAGTTGTTGTTTCATTTATGGTAGCCTGAGTAGTTGAATGTTATGGAAACCCTATTATGACGTAATCGGGTGCATGATTCTGGGAAATTTTGAATCATGGGATGTTTTGTAAGCGTTTTGGTCGTGTGTGTTGGTTTGATTCTTTAGACGGTAGAATGGCCGAAAGTAGTAAGATTAATTTGAAGTTTCTGTACGATTTGGAGCGAAAGGGGAAAAGAGCTTTAATTGACTGGTGTGTAAATGAAGGTTTACTTAGTAGCCATTATAAGTGTCCTGTATGTAAGAAGGATATGCGTCTAGTCGAACGTAAAAACCGTTTAGATGGATTTGAATGGGTTTGTAGGAAGAAAGGTTCAGATGGTCACTATGTGAAGTGTTTGATCAGAAAGAGTACCTGGTTTGAAAAATGTCATTTGAGTATGATTGATATTTTGATTTTTACGTGGATCTGGGTGTACGAAGCGAATTCGAAAATCATGGTAAGTGAATATTTGCTTTTGGTAGTGCTTAAATATATAACATGTTTTTAATTTTTTATGTTATTTTATTGTTTGGTTTCAAATATATTTTATTGAGATTATGTATTTTTGTTTGCCTATATTGTAGAATTTGGTGCTCCTTTGGCTTTGTAAGTGAAAATATATCGATGTGTACATGGACAAAGTAAAGGGAGTGCGCAATGCAAGTTTGTGCAATTCTGGGATTTTTTTTTTAAAGTGAAAATAGGTCGACGTTTACATGGATAAAGTCAAAGGAGTCCGCAATGCTATTTTTGTGCAATTCGGGGATTTTTTTTTTAAGTGAAAATAAGTCGATGTGTACATGGATACCGAGTTTGTGCAATTGTTTGTCTTGTTATCTTGGCTTTGTGTAGTGGCGATTTTTGCACCAAAAATCGCCGCTTCGAAAGCCAAAATAAGGAGTCAAAGAATTGCACAAAATCGGTATCCATGAACCGCCAAAAATCGCCCCATTTCGCCAAGGGGTACCCTAAACTATACTTTTACCTTAATAGGATATTTTGTTCATAACAAGTTGTATAAGAGTTCATAGACAAAAATGAATTAAATTAAAAGATGAAGCTTTCATTAATAAGGCATGATGCTTTCTGGTTCATTTCGTTTCAAGTATTACGGTCACTTACATTTAAAACGCTAATATTCTTCTTAACATTTTAAATACATTTCAGACTTTAGTGCTAATTTTCTACAGACGTTCAAATACGACATTTAAAATACGAGTGTTGGTTTAATGATTAAAATATGATTTTACAAATAATAAGAAGAGAAGATTAAAACATTTGAAATAAATAGATTATTTTGTTTCAGCTCTGAAAAAGGGGACAAGCAAAATCAGTCAAAGAAGAATACATGGTCAAAACCTTTAAAATACATGCTGACAAGGATTTGCATACATTAACCCAATTCTCTTTCCGAATATCATTTAGTAAAATATGCGATTGTAGAAAATTTGACTTTGGCCTCATATCTTTAAGAAACAAAATTTGCAGTCATTCTGTTAAACTTCATCACATTCAGTATACAAGCAGCGGTCAAAGAGACGTAACAAAGGTCGTCTATTTGCCGCCCAGATTAGAAAGGGGATAGTGATACTGATTGCCGCCCTGAAGGGCCTGGGCTCGGATTTCGGAAAAGGCGGATATATATGGTCACTTTACTTAACCTGTTCCGCCAAACTAAGTTAATAACACTACAGGGTTAGGATGTCATCCTATTCATTGATAGCAATCTGACGGTTAGGCCGCCTTTCTACCTTTTACATTAATCTTTAGTTTCTTGAATATATTTATTTTCATTCACTTGCTTCATTATCTCTAAGATGCCGTTGTTACAGTAATAGTCCGTGAACAGTCTATTCACAGGATATGTGATGTAGTCGGAAGGAAAGAATTGCTGTCGAAGGTGCTCTGTCAGAGGGCAGGAGAGCAGGTAATGAAGTGCGTCCGCGTGTTCTCCGCGAAAACCACAAGAACAGTTGACGTCCTGCCTGAAGAATCGTCTGTAATACTCTGGGAATTTCCTGTGGTTGGTACAGGCCGGAGGAAGAGTCGGTTGCATTTGAGCCTCTTGAGAGAAGGTATTGGGAAGATGTTGTAAATAAATCTTCCTGTCTCTTCTTCCTGCCATCGTGATGTCCATGTCTCTTGGAATTTTGTCTTGACGAGCCTTTCTGCAACTTCTGCGGAAAGCGGAACTTCCTTGTCAATTTCTGGTTTGAGAGCTGCAGTCTTAGCTAGTTCATCCGCTCGTTCGTTGCCTTTCTGCCCGGTATGTCCCTTTATCCAGTTGATCTTTAAAGAGATGGAAGAGTCTAACGTCAAGAGGATCTCTCTAAGTGCTGCCGTGTGCGGATGTTTTGGAGGAATGGAATTCAGCGCATTCAGAACGCTCATGCTATCTGTGAAGAATGAAGTGTGAGCTGCTGGTTGCGTACCTAAACATAGTGCTGCTTCTTTGAGTGCGAAGGACTCGGCTTGGAAGACTGAAGTATGGTTGCTTAGACGAAAGTGTGCTTGATAAATTTCTCCTTTGTTGAAAAAGACCGTGAACGCTGCCCCTACTCGTCCTGAAATTTTTGATCCGTCAGAGAAAATCTCTCTTTGTTGTCCAGAGGGTGGTGATTTGCACTAGGAAGGGATGGGTAGATCTCCTGGGTGTAAGACAGGGGAATTTGGAAGCTTTCTATGCTGGCATAGGATAGATGTAAATCTTCTTTAGTGTGAAGGTCCTCTTTGTAGTGTAGAAGTCGGTAGATTGATCTTTCTAATTCTGCTTTTAGGTCGAGTGGGAGCGTGCCAGCTAGAACCTGAAGTGCTGCGGTTGATGTGGTGCTATACGCACTGGTGATTTTTAACAGGATTACTCGCTGTATTTGTTGTAGTTTTTGACATATTCTTGCTGTGCCAGTCATCCAGACTGGGCAGCCGTAGAGGATCATGTGTTCTATTACATTTAGGTGTAGATGTTTTAACAAGCGCCCCTTTTGGCTCCACTTGTCTGTGATTATCCTGTTTAGTTTATTCATGATTCGATGTCTTATTTCGTACTTCCGTAAGATGTGATACCCACGTGAGCTTCTTATCAAGCGTGAATCCGAGGTATTTATGGTATCCTGGCGTCGCAGTGGATGCCCTTCCCACTTTATACGTGGTGGATTCGCGTCTATTGTTGAGCCCTTTGGAAAGACTATCATCTGTGTCTTTTCAATACTGAAACACAGTTTGTTGTATTGACTCCATTTTGCAAGCAATTTGAGTGCTGCGTCTGCTTTACGCTCTATTGTTGTCCTATTGCCTCCGTCTATTATGAGTATAATATCGTCGGCGTAAGCTTGTATCTTGGCATTGTCTCCAAAGTTGATGTTCAGCGCTGAGTCTGCAATTATGTTCCACAGGATGGGTCCGATATTAGACCCCTGTGGGGCTCCTTTGTGGTAATTCATCGTGATATTTAAGGGGCGTCTCTTTTGTAGGTCACTTGACGTTCTGTGAGGTAGCTTGTGATCAGTTGGTAAAGATTCTTTGGACATCGCAGGTCTTTTAGTTTTGTTTTGAGCGCTGGCCACCATAGTTTATTGAATGCTGACGCTACGTCAAGCGATATTATACACGTATGGAGGTTATTTTGTCTGTTATTTAAGATGATGTCTTGAACACGGTTGAGGGCGTCGGTGGTGCTCCGCCCTTTAGTAAACCCGAATTGGGCGGGGTTTAGTAGTTTGTTTTTGACCAGGTAATACGTTAATCTCTGCGTAAGCATCTTGTCAAGGACTTTGCCCCACGCTGAGAGTAAGCAGATAGGTCTGTAAGAACTGGGCATGGACTTTGGTTTTCCCTCTTTCTGGAACAAGACCAGTTCTGCGTTTTTCCATTCCTTTGGAAAATAACCTAATTCAAGGCACTTGTTAAAGAGTGCTAGAATTTGTTTGTCGTCCGCGAGCCTAAGCTCTTCAATGGTTTCAATCGTGAGGCCATCCAGCCCAGGAGCTTTACCTCGGCGTGTTGAGTTTATCGTACGTTGCATTTCTTCGAGTGTGAACGGCTGATCGTCTTCCGAGTTTGGAATCTCGGTTGATTGGGAACGAATATCTGCATGGTATGTAGAGTCCTCGTTGGGGTCGTCTTCTGGAAAATGGAACCTCATGATTTCTCTAATTGTATCCTCAATTGTGCTCGTCATTGTGCCATCTTCTTTTTGAACTGAACCTATCTGTAATGGATCCATGCTCTTCCCTTTAGCTAGATCGAAGTATGTTCCGAACGGAGAGCTGACAGTGATTTTGTTCCATGTCATGTCCCATGCTTTTTTCTTTTCTTTATACATCTTTTGCCGGTACTGTGCACGTACCCTTTGGTAAAGCAGCCTGTTATGGGTCCTTTCCTCTCCAGTTGTTTTTTGGAATCTTTTCCTTGTTGCTCGACCCTTTTTCCTGAGAATAGTGACATCCTTTGTCCACCATGGGCAGCTGTGCGGTCTTGGTTTCGAGTTATGTGAGAGAGCCGTTCTTTGATAGATCTCGTGGAGACTAGTGGTAACATCTCTTATATATTTATCAATTTCTTCGATAGTTGTCAGATTTCTAGGGTCTGCTAGAGATTTTGAGACATCCCTTTTGAAACTTAACCAGTCGGTATGTCGTACATTGATTTTCGTTCTTCTCCATGTTGGGTAATGAATGCTGGAGACGTCAAAATAGATATTATGTAATTTGTCAGTCATTTCATAGGCAACTTTGGCCCACTTATTTGGTGCCTCCATAGTGCCCACCGCTTCCGGCCTTAGTAGTGGCAAACCCTATAACGGCCTTTTCCCTCTCTATTTAACTGTAGATTATTTCTACTCTTTGAAGAAGAAAAATCAGTATATGATAATCTCAAAAAGCACAGAATTACTCATTGTGAATTTAAGGCTGATTTTTGAACCCCAGTAAAACTATTTATTCCGATTTGATTATTCTGAACTACAGTAAAACTGTTTATTCCGAGCCGCCCTCTTGCAGCAAACTTGCGTATGGAGCTTTAGACAAATACCGTTCTGTGTTCTTTATTTGTGTATATTAGAGTGTTCATAATCATTTAATTAGCGTTCAAGGAAAAAGTTATTAAAGCATTAACTAATCATCTTACCTTGTCTTTGAAATATTCCATCATACCAACACCAGTCGCAACACAATGAATCAAAATGAGGCCTAACACTCGAGTAGAATGGGCCAACTGAAAAAAAAAAAAAAAAAAAAAATGAAAGTAGAATGTGACTTCTGAGCCTTTCATATTTCACTACAAAATTAATACATGATCACAGAATTAATTCAGAGGTTACCAAAAGTTTATATCGGAATTCACCATGTAGTTCAATAAACTTCAATAAAGGCAAACTACGAAAAAGAAAAAACTAAGTGTTTTTGACTTTAGGAAAATCAAAAAGATAGATAAAATATATCTATTTGATAGATCAAATGGATAGAATAGATCAAAAGATATTTTTGAGAATTTTTTAAATATACGTAGCTTATAATTTTTACTGTTATAAGAAATTATAGTAGATAAGTTTGCTTAATATAGTTGAATATAGGTTCTTTTGCAATTTTTAATTTAATTTTTCCTTGAAAAAAGTACGAGATAGCTTCCTTAGAAAATCCTTCTTTCTACAATATTGCACCTTCAGTGACTTGAAGATTTTACTTATTTTTAATTGTTCTAATTCACGATCCTCTTTTGTAATTTTTACAGAAATGTTTTCAACTGACTAACAAATTCTTTTCGAGAAAGAATTTGCTTTAAAATGAATTGCTCCCAAATTAATATATATAATGTATACCAACAATTATATAATGTATTTACCAACATTTTAATTTTTGAATTTCATTTTAGTATTTTAAAGCATATAAATATTCTTTCAAATATTTGACTAAAAGTTTTCTTCAAGATGTCCAACCAAACCTTCATTTGGCGAGCAAGACAAGATGAACATATGCTTGTAAACTTCATTAAATTAGATTAGATTTATTGTTTAAGACAAAGCACAAGAAAAATTTGTATCGAGAAGAAAAAATGCCTTCGTGGACAACTTTCTAAATGAAATTCGTATTTCATTTATAAATTGCGTTTCTAAATGAAATACGAAATCTCTCTTCAGACAACCGGAAGTGCAGCTCTGTGTATTCACGCGTATAGTCCTTTTTTGCCACTAGTTGGCATGAGCTCTTAGAAATTTCCAGTTCAGTATACAATACTTGTAGATCTATACTTGGCGTGCTCATACAGCTGCTCGATTCCTTCGTAGAAGTCATCTAGTGTATCGCTGGTTACTGTTTTCTGAATCGCTTCAATGCTATTAAAGTAGTGACTAGTGTAAGTTTACTAGGTAGACTTCACTTTAGGGAAGAGAAAATTGCATGCAGGGAACAAATCTGGTGATAAGGATGTTGGTTGGATACTGTGACACTTTTTCCTTGCTAAACTGCTTACGAGAATGGAATTGTGAGAGGGCCTATTGTCGTGGAGCAGAAACCAGTTATTTGATTGAGCTTTTTTAGGTCTAACGCGCTAAATTCCTTTCGGAAGCCCAGTCCATTCTGTCGTTGTAAAGTATGGAATTTACCATCTCTCGCTTAGGATCAAGTTCCTTTTCCAGTTGTTGCCTACCAGCGGCCGAGCGGTAGAGTCGCTGAGCACTGGTAGTTCGGTCCGAGGTTCGAATCCCGGCGTTTTCGTGGTTTCCCCCATGTTTAACGTGTATACAAGTCAGTTTCCCTTAGAAAGTCCTCCACGAAGGAATCCCTCCCCTTAGGCAGATAGCCCTAGTGTGTCCAATTAAATACAAGTCACTCAGGTGATATTTCTTAAATTTTCTCAACCCAAAGTTTCTGTGACAATGGTTAAGAACTCAAGTTGATTTGTCCCAATCACGAGCAAAGTGCTAAGTTTCATCTCCATTTGTAATTTGAAAAAACTTACGTTTAATGATTGCAGTTTGAATTAAACCACGACATACAGAAGATGGATCTTCTTTTTCTATTGCAGCCAACTCGTGAGGTACAACATGAGAACAAGCATTTCTTTTTTCTAAGATCTTTCATGATAATTTTTTTAGCTTACTGATTCTAAGTTTATCATTTGTAACAAAAGATATGTAACAATTTATCTGCAACAGTTCGTTTTCGCTGTCCTCATCCGTTACAGACAGCAAAGAGAGGCGACGTCATCATCTTCGCGTCCATCACGACATCATAAGTAACAACGAAAAACAATGGTGCTAAATGCTTGATCCCCATATGCTTTACGCAGCATTTCAAATTTGTCCTTTCCCTCCCTCCGCTTTACATCAAATCTGTAGCAGTAGATGCTCACTATCAGAACAAATGACAAACTGCACAGAAAATTTTGTTTATAAAAAGACCACATTTTGGAAAATGCAAGTTCAGCTATCATCGAAATAAATGTTGCCGATTATCATTCTGTTTATGATCTACTAGAAAATATGGATATAATTTATACATGATAAGTGACTATATGTATATTGCTTGGAATATTTGAGAGCATATTAGTTTCAAACATGACTGCTGAGAAGGTGGCCTTAGCACATAGCCTTCCCTCTTTTCTAAGATAAGCACTTTCAAAATGTTTTAAGATGACCATCTGAAGGCTAAAGATTATATTCATCCCACTGCTATTCTAGATGAACTTCAACAGTAGACTGATGTATCTTCCATACGTATCCGAAAACCGTTGGACGCACTGAACGTGTAAGCCCGTCTGAGGTTCGAAAATGTTTAGCTTATATTAGTACTGGTAGTTCTCATTTCAAATTATTGGGCTGCATAAGCTTAGAGTCTTCGCCGAATACATATATACTCCAACTGTCAAAGGTAGAGTATACGACTGAATAAGAATGTGACAAATGTCTAACAATTAATAGTCGAAAGTGCGGATGATCAAATACAACAGAAATAAATAAATAAATGCAAGAATGAATAAATCAAATAAATAAATAGATAAAAAATAACAAAAAGTAAATAAGTCATAAAATGAATGAATGTGTACATAGAGCAATGCAGTTACATAAAAATACAGTAGTGAGTTTATCATATTTTTAAGAAATTAAAAAAAAAAAAAAAAAAAAAAAAAAAAACACAGTTTAAAAAAAGGGAATTCGGTGAATATAGTAGCGTTGTGGTGCAGTAGTGTTGTCATGAGGCATGTTGTATTTTGTTAATGTTGCATTAATAGGCAGTCCTATGCTTCTTCAAAATTACGGCCACGACAGCCCTTTTCTCGGGAATGCAGCATTTTTGCGTTCAGCGCCTTAGGGCCTTTACTTTCCTATGTTTGGCTGTCAGCTGATTGTTCCACCAGGGTGTTTTATTGAGGATAACATTTTTGCGGCTGTTTAAAACTTGCTCGCGCGCGGAGTGAAAGGTACTGATAAGGCTATCATGGATTTCGTCTAATTCTAATACATTTTTTTTCGGTTGTTGCACTGTGCTACCAGGCTTTGCACACGGTGAGCTAGAACATTGCCGAAGCGGTGGAGATTAATGAATTTCGTCTTCCACCTAGTTTTTTAATTACTTGCTATGAATCTATTGTAATGGAATTTGTATACATGTAAATAATGTTAGTGAAATTATATGTAAAATTGTATTTCCTTTTGTATAATGTAGTATGAAAATTTGAAAAGGAGAAGCTTTGCCGAAAAATAAGCATACAGGAGCAAGTCTATTTAACATTGAGAAATGGATATCTCGCCAAGCTTGCGATGGTTTTGGTGACTAATTTTTGTCACCAAATTTGGCGAAAAATCTCTAAAAGTCGCCAGAGCTGGCTACCATTTGGCGACATTTCGGTCCGGTTTCTGTATAACTAGAATTCGTTCTGTAAATATGTAGCTGTAACCGTATCCGGCCCTTAGATGTAATAGTAATTTCGATGTTACAGTAATTTCGAGAAATGGAAAGTACTAGAGATTTCTCGGCGGCCGGATGAAAACTGTGTAAGATCGGAGACAGCATCTGCTCTCAGTAGTTGCTTAGTTCAGTGTGAGTTCAAAGTATTAAAATATGTCCGTGTGAGCTGCGCTCTTTAGATGCTCTTTGCACTGCGTTATGCATAACTTTCTTAGTGGTCTGAAGTGTAACTGCTGATTGTACTCTATGATACTGTGAAGTATCATAGAGTACAATTTATGTATGAGTATTTTTGTGGAAAGTTTTACAACTGTGTTTTTGGTAATATAAATATCATCAACTATCGTCGGTTCTGTGTGCATTCAATCTACTGCGAATCCGTACGCACGCAATGTTTTAAACTTGGTCGCACATTGAGTGCAAGGGATTTATAAGGCTATCATGGATCTCTTTTAACTCTAATACATTTTTGCAGTTTTTGCACTGTGCTGTCAGGCTTTGCACATGTGGAGCTTCAGTATTGCCGAAAAGGTAGAGTTCAACGAATTTCATCTTTCACCTAGTTTAAGTTATTTGCGGTGACTCAATGTATATTCCGAAATCGATGAAACGATGATCATTGAGCGAAGGGTGTTAACTGACGACTGTCCATTCATGAATTGAAGAATAAATGCTAGTTGTAGCTAAAGTTAAGTATGGTCACCCTTGCGTTCTTACAATCGGTGAAGTTCAGGAACTATCGCTTGAATTACACTAGTTAGCAAAAATCACAAAAATAGCGATAAAGCACCGTTTCCATTAGTGCGTTAGTCGTAGCGTCAGTGGAAAAAACGCATACGCAGACGAACCTCCGTTTAAACACTACTGCGTTAGATTTGCGCTTACGGAAGTTCGGTGGTCATTTGCATTCATTGCCACCAGATGTCTCTGTACTTAACTTACGGTATTCGGAATCTTAGGCATATATCACACATGCATTTGTTTCACACGAAAAACTGTTTCGGACAATTTTTCTGCCTGATTTACTATCGAAAGAAAGACGCGCGATATTTTCCTTCCTGTAGAAAAAAAATTTCAAGTTGTTCGTTTCAACCAATCAGCTATCAGCTTGTTTGTAGCGGAGAACCAGTTTCCCTTTTACATGTTAACCCTGTAGAGATATTAGATATTTTGAAAGCAGGGAAAAATGGGCGACGCCTTCGCCGGGAATCGAACGACGGACCTCTGGAATACGTGCCCAACGTTCTGACTACTACACAATGAAGGTATGCTAAGAAGGTGGGAGAAATACCTTATAACCCCAAAGTG